TTATTACAAAAAATAAAATTTTAGGGAATTAAAGCGCTACTTTTACTTCTGATGATTCAACCGCAGCAGAAAAAGATTCTGAGTTTTTCAATAACTCGGTACCATGCCGAGAATCAAATCCTCATAAACAGGGCAAGAACAAGCTTAATTGACAAATCTTTACATGTTCGATTGAAAAAATTAAGTAACATCTTGAAATCGATCAAACTATATGATACAAAGTATGAAATATCGCCAAAACAGTGTATTTCTTATTTTCTGAAAACTCGACTCCAGGCGTGATGGATGCTTTCAAGCAGTCACTTTTATGCTGGAAAATGAGTTCAGGCAAAATTAAAGTTTTCAAAAACCGTAGAAGAATGTAAACTTCTTTTAAAAAATCTCCACATGTCCGATTGGAAATATTGAGTCATGTCATACAAGCAATCATTTTATTTGATCGGAAACATGAAAAATCGTCACAGAAGCCAGTACGTTTCTTGTTTTCAGAAAACTCGACTCTTGGTTGGTTTCGAAAGAAATTGATGTTCATCCGCACAAGGTCAACGCTGGTGCAATCCAAAAAGAACCCGTGAGAGGTAAAGATGAAAATTGATCGGTGAAGCGCGAGGGTGCTTGGAAGTTGGGCGCTGGAGCAGGCGACGGAAAGGGTTGAAAAAAACTGGGCGGAGATGGCGGGCGTGGAAGCTGCAGCTGTCCGCTCTACGGTTGTCAGATCAGCCGTGTCACACGGATTTTACTAACGTGCAAAGGGATGATTTTCTTACGACATTTGGGACGAAGACCGAACGAAGTGTAAGCAAAAGGAAACGGGAGGAATTATCGGGCCTGGTTTTTTCTGCCTACGGCTGTTTCGTCTCCGTTGCCAGATCAGTGCCGTGGCCTTCTTTGCGATATATCGATTGATCAGTCGCGATCAGTCGATTTTTCTGATCTTTCAACAGGGCGTTCACACTGACCGCGGCACCTCAATAATCGATTATTTACCATAAATTTAAATGGGGAAGTGTCGATGATCGATCATTCACGCTTCGCCACCGTGCCAGATAAATTTTAAACTGAAGACAGTAAATTAAATCCATGGTGTCCAGGACCATCATGAATAATTGCGAAGACCCGGGCATCATCAGAGAATAATGCAAAATTTAAGGGAGAATCTGGGAAAATCAAAGAATAAGTTCCAGAAAACGGGGATCTCTTCTCCTGAAGCTTAGAGACCGTTTCATTTTCACATTTGTCAGAAATTTAAAGTTCCCGTTGTTATCAAGGTTTATGTAAATGCACTTAAGCCGCCATCTTTGACCTCTAGAATGACATACTTGAATCTTCAAATGGGCGTATTAATATGAGAGCTTTTAATGATCTGATATTATGAACATCATGAACGCTTTTGGAATTAAAAATTTAAATTTGCGCCAAAGAATCGGCTGAAAGGTGAAAACATTTGATATTCAAATCTGGAGCTCAAGAAAGTCCCGGGGAAATGGAAAATAACTTTGGTTTCTCATAAGAGAATGTGGTTCTAAAAATTAAGGAAAACAATGAGCTCGGTCAAGAATTCAAGACATCGTTCCTTGTTTGCCTCTAGATATTTGAAAAATTACTCAGAGAGTGGCCCCTTGGAGCGCAAAGCATCCTCTGAGGGATGGGCCACAGAGGAGCCAGGAGGCAACAACCCTCCCCCCCTCCCCTCTAATAAGATAACGTATAGTAAAAACGCCTGATCAAACGTCAAGCAGCTCCTTGGAATACAATACTAGGGTACTTCGTTTTGAGTATTCGGAAAACAAACGCGCCTTCAATTTTTAGCTTATGCAATGAGGACACTCCTCGAGTACGAATAGTTGTATCTAAGCGCCGCGCCGTTCCTGATGCTGCGACAACCGAGAGACAATCAACCTAAAGCGCCTACGCCTTGTATTCCTGTCTATGTGTTTTTCTATGTTTGGAAATGACACTGATGATCTGTAATAATCCCATGTTACCAGTTACAAGGCATATTCCATGTTTAACTGTGTTTTCCTCGAAGTCACCGTAAGTTCCCTCTCTCTCTCTCTCTGCGATGTCCTCTCCAATCGTTGTTTTTAGAGAACGGAAACATGTATGCACACTACGAGGCACGCCTCGTGGCCGCTACACGGCCCAACGCTAAAAGGCCCTTCCAATGTATCATTTTTCGAAAATGTAAAGAACGCGGTTGCATCTCCAGGTCTTGCATTTTTAAGTGGATTATATTTTGCAATAAGGAACCACTATCTCTAGCTCTTCTGTAAAAGCGCCTATCCGCGTGGGGAAACTAATATCATATATGTTGCTCCTAAAATGAGCCAGAAGTAGTGGTTCCTTATTGCAAAATGATGTTCAAGTGATGGCCGTAAAAATCATGAAATTCGACTCGTAGGTTCTCTAGAACGAAGCTTGACAAAAAATTTAAAATTTGGGGAGTTTGATAACCTATATAAAGAATGATGATGATGGTGATGACGGTAATGATAATGATGATGATGATGTTGATGATGATGTTGATGATGATGATGATGATGATAAATGATGCCAGATTTCTTACGAGTAAATTGTCAACTCGACCAATCTTTTAAGTAAGGGACGTGCTATTTTTTTCTGAATTTGATCTAGTTTTTTGGGTGGTGTTTCCGTTACCACCCGGCAAGGATGGTGCTGATGTGATGTCGCGCTGAGAAACGACCCCCATCGCGAGATTGATTTTCCCGGCGCCCCGTTGAGCCTAGTAGTTGCCGATTTTCGCTCGGTTTTCTCAAAAGCAAATTTAAGGATATTAGATCAAGCCCTGACACAAATGATAAATGTCCGTTTAGCCTTTGTTATCCGATGTCCGGGCAGGCAATATTCGACGAAATTTAAGCGGGCGAAACTGTCTGCATGTGCTTTACCTTGGCATCCTTTGGTGAATATGTAAAGCTTTCGGCCTTCCTCGAGGCAATAAAATGCTATGGCACATTGAAAAGTCATCTCACAATTGATTTTTCAATTAGGTTGAATATACTCATTACTTTATCGGGCAATAGTGTATGTATCTGTTTTCTCTCTTGTTCTCGATCTGCTTTGCACTTACACTGGATAAAAAAACACCATGGATGTAGAGTCCAGACTCTTAAAACATTGACAAGAAAAAATACTCTTGATTCATTCAGATTTAAGCTTAAATCAAGAACCAAGCCTATTTTAATTTGAGCGGATTTCCTTTTGATTTGAGCATAAATCTGATTGAATCAAGAGTCCCTTTCTTGTCAATGTTTTCAAGAGTCTGGACTCTAGATCCAATGTGTCTTTTTTTCCAGTGTAGATGTCTAGACGATGTGCATTTCAAGCTTTGTGAAGTTCATTTTCAGATCCTTAACAACTTTTAAAGTTTTTCGGTTTCGTGCTTTTTATAAACTTTTGTTTCACAATTTGACGCGCGTAGTGATCCGTTAAAAAGTTTTTAAGGACCTGAAGATGAGTTCCGCAAAGCTTGAAATGCGCATCGTCTAGACATCTAAGTACGAAGAAGATCGGAAACAAGAATAAAAACTGGTTCATATTTCTCAATCACTCACTTTTTTCATTGACTGATCATTGCATTAATTGACACGGATATACCCTTTCAGATTGAAATATGAGGCTTTTATTTTACAGCGCGGCTGCATTTTACCCCCGAGGATTTTCCCTTTTCAATAAAGTAAAGATGTAAAATATATTCTAATACCAGGCACGTAATTTGGACTCATCAACTTGTTTGTTTTTCAAAACGACTCAAGCACAGCTCATCGGTTGTTCTTGAGAAAACCGCGGGTGTAAAGCAGGTCAAATCCCGAATATTTCTCACGAGGAACCCTTTAAAAAGGCCTCGGAAGCATAATGCATGCGGATCCAAAACATTTAAGCATCCACCTTTTCTCGGGTGAGTTATGCGCCTTGCGGGAGAATAGAAGTGACAGTAAAAATATTAAAAGTGATTTACGGTCTCGTATTTTACTATTATTTCGCCGCAGCCCTACCCTACACGAGTAAAACTTCCCGGGCGGTTGTATCCGTTGTATTTTTTTTAGGTTTTCCTCTACGCCTGCACACAGTTCTCATCTCCTTCTTTCTTTCTTTTCTTTGTTTCTCGGTCGGCCAGAGAGTCTGGGTAATAATTTCAGGAACCAAATAAACGAATTGTGGGACAAGTTCGGCGCTGAATCTAACCACTTGTGGGCTGATTATTGAAATTGATAGACAATAAAGCTCTAGACAAAGAAGCCAAAAAGAATATGGAAGGATCCTATGGGTGGAAGCGGGTAGATGCAATGGACAAAAGACGCAGGTTATAGACTAACTAACGGCAACCCACGAGAGACCCGATAGTTAGTCCATCATTTTCTCCTTTTAGTCTATAAGAACTACCCATTTCAACCGATAGGATCGCTCTATACTCCTTATGTCTTCTTTGTCTGTAGCTTTGTCTATCAATTTCAATAATCGGCCCGCAGGAATTCTTACCCGACCATATTAAAGATTATTTCGACGAAGAAGGGATGAGTCGGAAGGTCTCGAAAAAGTCATGGTTCAGAGATGGGCATATTTCAGAGAAGTTGGGCCGATTTGATACCATACTCCTTTAAAGCGATGGATCAAAACGTGTTCAGGTCATCAATATATTTTTTTTTTTCTTTATGAAAAACGTTGGGGTGTATAGTATATTGCATGGGCATGAATGAGAAAATTGGGCCGTTTTGATATCATTTCCTTTTAAATGATGAATCCAAACGGAACTACCATCATATTTTTTGGGTGCCTGATTTTTTTTTTTTTTTTGGTAATAGAAGTGACAGTAAAAATATTTAAAGTGATTTACGGTCTCGTATTTTACTATTATTTCGCCGCAGCCCTACCCTACACGAGTAAAACTTCCCGGGCGGATTTATTCGTTGTATTTTCTTAGGTTTTCCACAGTTCTCATCTCCTTCTTTCTTTCTTTTCTTTGTTTCTCGGTCGGCCAGAGAGTCTGGGTAATAATTTCGGGAACCAAATAAACGAATTGTGGGACAAGTTCGGCGCTGAGTCTAACCACCTGGAATCCTTACCCGACCATATTAAAGAATATTTCGACGAAGAAGGGAGCGATCAGAATGATCAGCCTGATCACCAAATTGACGAGTCAGAAAAAGCCGATAGCTCGCCTTTGCCAGGTAGCCTCTTTTTTCAAATTTTTCAAAAGCTTTTTGTCGTAACCGTAATCGAGACGATTTTGGTACTCGTAGTATGTTTTTCGTCGTCTCTTTTGTTATCGTATATCGTACTATAATCGAGTATGTAGGCGCTCTGACATACACCCGGAAATCCATTTGGTTTTGTATCTAGAATAAATTAGTTTTCATTTCGTTTCATGTAAATTTACCCCCGACTTATAAAAATATACGTATTATTCTCTGCCTTTAAGAATCATACAGAAAGTTGAGTATAGCGTGACAAACTGTTATATCAATACCTCCTTAAAAACAATTAAAGAAATCTCTAAAAGTTTTCGGAGATAATGACAAAGTGATACGTAAATCTTAGTCTTATTAAGCCAGCAATTTTCCCCATTCTAAATTTCATCTATTTCTTAATAAAAAGTCTTGGTTTAAATATTTTAACTAGAAATTAAAATGAAAGGACCCATTAGAAGTTAAAAGAGACTTTGTTTATACCAGAAAACATACCGCGCAAAATAGGGTTAAAAAACTTTCATTATTTTCTGATCATATTCATTGATTGATTTATTTAGTTAGTTACTTCGATCACATTAATATTCTTCTATGTCAGCTTCTCGAGTTTAATCTGAGAGATTAGTTAAGTGCAGTATCAACAAAAAATACTATTTCACGATTTTATTTTGATCAATTTACAATTATTACTGTTGTATACAGCAAATGATTATACTTTCGTTTTGTTAAAAAAAGGGGAACAAGAGAGAAAAGTGCGTACACTACTATTATGTTTTTAAAAAATACATTTGTTTAAAAATTCAATTTTTGTGCAAGGTTGTGATAATGTTAATGTCATCCCGGGCGGATGTTTTTCAATTGTATATAAAGTTTACTTAATGTGTAAAATCATCCCAATCAAATATAGATTGGTATTTTTTAAGTTTCTTTAATTCAGTATCTATAAGTATTTGAAGTGAAGGGAAAAATTCATACAACTTGGTTCGATAATTCGGAATAGTTCTCATAACTCTCATTGTATTTGCTCCTTTTTTAAGCTTTCATTATCAATTTTCATAAACGTAGCACCTTGAAAATGTATTTACGGAATCAACTCCGGGTAAAATGGGCAATCAGGCTATCAGCAGGGGACTCCCATTAATGAATTTAAAATTAATTTAACTTCAAATGTTTAATTAAATACAATTTCATCAGGCAGGACGTCATATACTAGGGACAGCATTAACTGGACTAAAGCTAAGAATTCTATCAGTAACTTGTAACCCTCGTGATCATATAGCATTGTTTTAACCCCTCATGCTCAGTAAAGTAGACCAACATGATGACACACAGATCCATATGTTTAGTTTCTTGAGTAAACAATTGGTGTAGTTTTCCTTTTCTGGCTTATTCCTCTCAAAAGATGTAATGTTGAAAATGTGTTCATTTTTTGCGTAATTTATCATTACTATATACCTCTCTTTCTCAAGTTCACTTTTGGACTCATATAACTGTATAACAATTCAAAACGCACATTGCCTGTGTTTTGCTCGTAATATTTGTGGTAAAAATTTGTTCTCATGTAATGTCATAGTTTTACGTGACTTTTGTTAAATTACAGTTTTCTTCTGTGTTCGCTTTTGCGCACTTTCGTGTAATCAATTATCATCGTAATTTGCCTAAATTCCAGAAAAATTGCAAGAGCCATAATATCATTCAGTAACTCTAAGTATTTGTTTTAAATATTTTAATCGTGTTTAAAGAAAATCGTCTGTTTTCTTTTTACTACATGTAGCACAATAGGTAACTCATAAAACGCACAATAAAGACAAACGTTGAAATTGAGCATTAACCCCATTAAGTTTGGATCACCCTTCATATCTGTAATGAACAAGGAAAAAAATTGAATGTTGCTTCAGCACTTATTATGTTGAAAAAATGTACAAGTATAAATCCTGATTTCACAACAAATAAAATCCTAGCTTAACTACGTCCACGGTTAAATGAACAAATTCGATATTGAGTTAGAATTGTTTTAAATGTAAAATTGGCATTTTGATACTTGTCGCACATTTTTTTAACAGTATAAATGCAAATCAACGCTCAATTTGTTTCTGTGTCGTTTTCTCCAACAATTTTGAGATTTGAAAATCGAAGAGAGGGAAGGAGAGGAGAGGAAAAAACTGAGAAAATGACTTTACTTCATGGATTGTTTCCGACGTTCTTAATTCCAGAAGCAACAACTAAAGATAACGCTCGTGGTTACAAAAAGTATGACCGAGCCTGCAAAATTTTGTCGTCCCGATCTGCGAGAGAAGTTTGATGCTGTCGGGGCTGAAATTTTGGCAGGAGCGCTGTCGAAGGGTTCTTCGGAAGCGGGCGGGAGTATGAGGAAAGGGGGAGGGATAATTTCGCGTTGTTATAGATAAATCGCCGGCCTGTCGTAAACTTTCGGCGGAAACGCAAATATACACGGATACGTTTCTATACACACTTGCCTACGGCGCCGGACAAACGCCTACTTTGTGTCGCACCCTCGATATCATTGATCGCGTTAACTGTGAGCGCGGCGATATCAAGTCGCCAGCCGAATTTGTTCATCTCCCGGCCCGGTAGATTAAAGGATCTCGAAATTTAGCAACGCAGCCGGTGCTGTTCAAAATACAGGGCTTTACGCTTGCAGAATGTAGTGCCTTTATTGAAATTCCACGGCCCGTGTAGCGTTGCTCCGGAATAAACTTTGGAATCCATGATTCCGAACTTCGAAATTGGGATGCTCTCTAACAACTTACAAGTTTCTCGAACGTAAGTGAGCACTAAGCATCCAACAATTGTTGAAGAATCAACGATTTCTCTCTTGAAGACTACACTAGTAAATACGCTATCCACGGAGCAATAAAGATATCCGACTCTTTTATATTGGAAAGTTTTACACTTCTCTTTCGCCGAAAATCTCGACCGTGAAATACCGCGTTTCAAAATGGTCAGATCATACGACTTAAAAATTTTACTCCATTTATATTTCGAGAAAATTTGTTCTGGAGTCTCTGAATTATGACTCTCCTGAATTATGATTCACCACTCCATTCCTCTCTTCCCTAAATCTCAAGTCATCAAACTTCCTTTATAGTACGAAATGTGTATACCAGATCTTGCCCGTAGCCGTTGTTTCCCGAAACGCGGCCGCTTCGAGTTAATACACCTCTTCATTCCCAACAGGCCTGGGTTTTGTCTTCTACAATTTCTTCCAGATATTGCCTCTATAAGGAGCCAAAATGGTGGATCGTTAAATGAACCGCGTTAAATAAAAAGGAACCAAGCCACATCAGCTATTGCCAAAAATTGGGCAATTTAATTTGTTACATGAAAACGGTTGTGCGGATTTTTGTGCAAATGTCAGCGAATTTTTTGCATAGTGCAAAGCAAATTCCTTGAAACTTTCAAATGGCCTGGTTACACGATCAATTTCCCGTCAAATTCAGATCAAATGGTGACTGGTGCGCACCATCTACCATCAAATTTCTGCGGCCTGCAAAAATTTGATAGTAGATGATGGAGCTGTGGGGCTCATCTTTCATCTGATTTCCACACAATCGTGCTTATTTCATGCTTATTTCAATCAACACGCTGTTTTAATTAGTTTTACTCATCAATCTAGATAACTCTCGACCGCCATCTTGGTCATAATTTTGATCGGAATTTGACGGGAATTTGATCGTGTAACCAGGCCAAAAGGAATCTGCGCAAACGTTCTCTTGTAAAAAATTAAATTGCCCAGTTCAATTTGGCAATATCTGATGTGGCTTGATTCCTTTCTTCTAAACGCGGTCCAAATGTCGTCCATATATTGTAACCCTTGATTCCCAGCCCTATTTCATGGTCCATTTTGATTATTTCATAAATCCCAACCCCGCTCCCAGTTCGGCCCCGAGTAAGTTTTCGAAAATGAAAATCCGCCTGAAATTGTTCCCGAGCCAAGGTTTAATTTAATAAGTTCAAACCCGCAATTCATAACCGGGCGACTTGAAAGCTAGCGCGCACGAGAGTCCCCGCCGAAGGTTCGCCCCGACTAGGCATTCATAATTCGTTTTGATTGTAGCATGCAGCGTTTGATTACGAAGGATCCGGAAAGTTCCCCAAATTGGATTAGTCTAATTTTTGTCGCTCCCGGGGCTCGCCTTTCTGTCGCTGCACGCTCAATTGAATTAACGCTCTCAGCCGGGTTTGATGGAGCCCGGCTATTTTTACTCCCTCGGCGCGGCGGGAGGTTACCCTTACGACTTTGCAAAGGGTCTCCTGAAACGGACATTTTTGCAGAGAGAGCGGTTGCACACATCAACTTGCACTTGGAGAACCTCCGGGCTGATTGTTGAAATTAATAGACAGAGCCTGGATATTTTTACTCCCTTGGCGCGGCGGGAGGTTACCCTTACGACTTTGCAAAGGGTCTCCTCAAAAGGACATTTTTGCAAAGAGAGCGGTTGCACACAGCAACTTGCACTCGTAGAACCTGCGGACTGATTGTTGAAATTAATAGACAAAGCGATAGACAAAGAAGACTTACAGCGGGCTGAGTATTGAAATTGATAGACAAAGCAATAGACAAAGGAGACAAAAGAGATATCGAAGGATCCTTTTGGTGGAAGAGGGTAGTTGCAATGGTCAAAGGACTAGGTGATAGACTAACTGACGGCAACCCACGAGAGACCCGATAGTTAGTCCATCATTTTCTCCCATAGTCTATAGAAAGTATAGGAGCCACCCAGTTCAACCAATAGGATTGCTTGATACTCCTTATATCTTCTTTGTCTATTGCTTTGTCTATCAATTTAAATAATCGGCCCGCAGGAGCATGGAGCGATCCTATTGATTGAAATGGATGGTTCTTGTATACTAAGGGCTAAAATATTGGACTAATTACAGAGTTTCTGGTGGGTTGCCGTTAGTTAATCTACTACCTACCGTCTTTGTTTATTTCAACCACCCGCTTTCACCAATAGGAT